TCTATAGGCACCTCACCTCAGCACACGGCGGGGATGACTCTTGATGCTCGCTGTTCGTCAGTCAAGCGAACAGCACAACTTCTCGTGCCTTTCCACCACTGGATCCATTACTTCTTTGAATCCATTCCAATATCCTATCATTACGGGAGGGTTTCCCTAAGCCCTCGTTCATAACCTGGCGTTCCCGGAGGCTCTTTAATTAGCACACGCCATTGAAGGCAATGGCGACAGAAGTCGGATCGTCATTCTGACTCTCTCTCCCTGCTGAACGGTTGGCGCGAAGTCGGACCCGAAGACTCAATCTGCATTCCAGAACATACCCGTGTCAAGGAATTCCGTTTGTCATCGCAGGACTACATACGAAGCCCAACCACCCACCTGCCTATTCTGTCTGCCCGGCCCTCTGCCTCTTCGACTTCCCCTTTGCGCATCACATCGCATCGCATTGCACCTCAGTTGGCAAAGCTTCGCTTCTCAGCTGGCTTCTGGAAGGCGTCTTCCCGACAGTCACTCTCACTCCTTCACACCTACAACACCACCGGCCCAGACTTTACTGTAACGACCCAGTACCCTTTGCGGGTTCCGCGTTCGTGCGAGCCCCCCCTCCTCCCAGCATCGCCTGGCCCCTTGCTCGCCTTATCCGCTCGCTGCACTTATACGCAGTCAGTCACCGCCTTGAGTTCCCTGGAATTGTTGTGAACTGGCGTGCCCAGGGCCCCTGAACGGCAGGGGATAAAGAGAGTATTTTTTTTCTCAAACCCCCCAGCACTGACAAGGCCAGGGAGGGGCACCGCATCGCCAACGCTGAATATCGAGCACCAACAATGCGGTGAGTCCTTGTAGGTGCATCTTCACCTTGTCGGTCTCGACCGTCTAATAAGTCTGAGTGGGGGGTTCAACCTCAAAACCGCTGTCCGAATGAACTCCCAAAGATGCTAGTGTAGAAGGCTGACCGCCCCTTCTCTCAACTTCTCTGCCTCAACGCCCTTGAGGGCACAGAGCACCTCGTGCGTCGGGCTACCGAGTACCTGACGGACCGACCTGCACCCCAGCTCGGCACTCCCTCTTGTAAGTCCCTCTCGTCGGACAGTCGTACATGGACCCAGGTTGATAGCGAACACACATCCAGGCAATCCGAGAGCCCACACGGGCCTACGCAGTACTACTATGCAGTATGTACACATGCCGGAAGAAGACCCAGAATCAGAATTCGAAAGCGGTCACGAAAGGAACCCGGGGGGAGAGTTATTGCCGTAGCCCAGAATAACCCGGGCATTCGGTGCTCTCCAACGATCGGGTCTGAGAAACAAGGCAGGGCCTGCGGGTACGGAGACAGGCGTCTTATCAAAGCCGCTGACTTGGCTTCAGTGCTGGGTCTAGACTTGCAGCCATGGTAATGGTAGTTGTAGGCCGAAGAGTCCTTTTCCAGATTGACATGAGGTCTTTTGATACGTGCTCTACGTGCTCTACGTGCTTTACCTAGACGCCATGTTTCGTCCCAAGCGGAACGTGTGGTGTTGTCATACGAAGGCCAACACAACCATGGTGCCGGTGGCACGCCGTACACCGTTCTTTCAAGTACCTTAGGTGAGAGGTAGGTAACAAAGGGGATGAGGATACCTACGCCCTACGGGACATCAGGACGGCACGGGAGGGGAGGGAACGGGACACTTTGGGACGGAACTTGGAGCCAGCGGGGCATACCACCCGCTACGATACCTTACCTGCCTTACCTCCTTGCCTAGGTACCTAAGGTACATATGGTACGGAATACCTAGGCAGGTATGTACAGAGTAAATAAGGCAGAAAGGGCATCCCCACGACTGGGAGCCAGAGGAGGGGTCAGGGCCACTTTCGCGGCACGGTTCCGGTCAACCGGTTCCCCGTTGGTAGCGCCTGATCCCATGCGCGCTGCTAGCTAGGAGTGCTAGGGTGCTAGCTGGAGGTTGGCTTGGTGGAGATGGTGGGCATATTCTAATTAATGGCATGGCACATTCAAGGGCTGCTTCGGAAACTCCCAAACACTGGCAAGCCGCAAGTTTGGCGACTCTTCCGGCATCCACTGACCCCCGATGTGCCCCTCAGCAGCTTGCTCCCCTTCATGTCGACATTGTGCAGCCCGTCGGGCGGGTTAGTCGTGGACCAAATGGGGCATGACATGAGCAAATCAGCTACCCTAGAGTCGATATGTCTTTTCTTGGGCGTACAGTAAACGACCACGCGAGGATCAGCTACACGGGCAGAGGCTGACTCCAACTCGTCTGTCTCTCTGGCTCCTGGCGATCACCGCGAGTTGTTGGTGCAGCGTTGTAGCCTATGCGTATCTGGGAATTGGACCAACGCGAATGCCGACGACGCCTCGTTGCCGATGCTCTCACCCAGCCCGAGGCCCAGAAACACGAGCGCACCACGATCTGCAGCCGTCGTTGACGTGTATTAGTGTCCGGAAAGCGTGTATCGATACTCGTAGCGCGCTTCATGATTTGGCTTTGAGGCTCAAGGTCCGATCCTTGCTCGAACCCGTGGGCTGGGTGCCTACTTGGTACTTGTTTCGTCGTTTCATGGCAATTCTACGGACAGAAACCGGCCACTTGGCTATTACAGCACAAGTTAAACCCGGCGCAATCAACAACGAGGGCACCTTAGGTGATTATGCATAGCAAGATCGAGAACAGCGGCAATTGATCGGCGTAGAAAACATCAGCCGGATTCCACGATGAACGGAGGGGAAGATGCTTCAACGGTGCCTGCAACACAGAAGCAGGCGGGGGGCAGAGGGCGCAAGAAAAAACGTAGTGAGAGGGGCATCGAGCCGGGCCGGTTGGTTGGTGATTTGCGACGGCGCTTGATGGGGGACGGATGTTCGTCGAGCCGTCGGGAAATGCGACGGGTAAAAACCCAAGGCTACCCCATCTCCAGATGAAGAGTTCCGGCCGGCGAGATTACGTTGCTCGAGTGACGACAACTACCTCGACATCGAGAGCCTTGCAGAGGGAGGGCTCCGAGGACGCGGGAGGATTGTGGGCAAACTGCAGGCGCCTCAGCCAACACTTGAGAGAACGGAAGTATGGGCGAACACTGCCCGAGGTGAGGTGCCTGCCTGCGCTACCTTAACCAAGGCAAGGAACCTATCTTACCTGAGGTAGGTAGTAGGTAAGGTAGGTAGGTAAGGTAAGTAGGCACCTAGGTACCGCATCTGTAAGACAGTGCGTCGGCAACAAGCGTTCGGCTGGTCCGCATGGCTTCTGCACAGTCGAGACAGTGCGCGGCAGCCTAGGCGCCTGGCTCCACACCGGTGTACTGCGGTAAGCGTCCAGATGCCCGAGGCACCTCACCTCAGCCCCTGTTCCAGGACCCTCCCCCTTCCTCATCTCACTGGACCCTCGCAGTGCTTGTCGCATCGACCTCTTCTCTTGCAAGTTGCGGGCCCAACTTTCAAGGCGCCAAAGGCCACCCGTCTGCTGATGGCGACAAACCTACCTTACCTTCCTAGGCTGGGTTTCCTGATGCCCGCTGTGAACCTATGTTTAAAAGGGTTACGCAACCCGCGCCGACCTGGTGGTCAAAATCAAGACCGAACAAGCGCAAGAACGACCTAAGGCGGATTAGTGGTGCACTGTGTCAGGTCACCCTAACCAGGAGCTTAAGATGGCCTTAAACCACGCATTTCGCTGTCCGTTTCTTACAAGGAAGCGGCCCTAGCCAGTGAGATGCCGGGAAATACTCAATGGACCCACTCTGCGGGAGACGGGCAGGCAGGGCCCTGGAGCAGCACGAGGAAGAGGAGGGGAAGAGACGCCAAGGGCAAGGAGGGAGGAGGGAAAATGGAGGACGAGGAATTCAGGCTTGCGAAGAAGTCGGGTACTCTGGAACTACCTACCTTACCTGAGGAGGTGTCCGGACGCCTAGCGTCCTACGAGGTACTACTGCCGCTGCCGCTACCATTCCCACTCTCGATGTTGCTGGGAAGCCTGTTACTACGAGAGGCCTGAGTTACCCCCCGCCATCCCATCTCCCGCACCTCAGTTCCTGCTGGGGCACAAAGCCTCAGTGTGTCTTGGGCCTGACCAGTCTTGCGACCACGGCCGCTAGATCAATCCCCCTAAGCACTCGGTGGCTTCCCATTGAAGAACACCACTACGGTCGAAACCACCATTGCCGCTCGCCTCAAGACATTGCTGTTCCATCTCGTTCAAAGACGACGACGACGGCGACGACACCGAGATCGCAACTGAAAGATCCCTCGGCATCGGCACCTTCAGGGCAAAGCGGCAATCAAACCGCCCTGTCTTACCTTCCGCTCCGGGCCCTCGACATCACCGACACCACTCTGTGTTGGTCGCTTCCGGGCGGGCTTCCCACATCAGGCGATCCTCTCCCGGCTCTACTCGACTCCTGCTGATATCGCCGCAGTCGTTGCTACTCCTCCTCATTCCCTCCCGCCCAGCGCCCACGACGCGAAAAATCTCCTAGCGAATCGTCGTCAGCATCCGACACGACTCTATCCGCCGGCACAACTGCTCATTCCACCATTCAGCTTTCGGGATCGCGAAAACTCGCCCGAAGTTCCCTTTCTCGAATACGCTCAGCCTCGGAGCATCATCTTCGTTGACACGCCCGCCTACACGCGGAAGCCGTACGTACACTTACTTACGCGCACACACGGCCGGGCCTGCCCACCTCCTTGGAAGAGAACGACGCCCCCGCAACCCCCTGCTCCAACCTGCGCCTACTCGATTGTGGGTTCGGTTCCCGACGCTCAACATCTCGTCGCCCCAACCAACACACACACACACACACACACACACACACACACACACACACACACACACACACACACACACACACACACATTCTTTTCCAGTACGCACACGGCTCTTTCAACGGCGCGATTGACGACCGCTTCTCCGACTGGACGTTACGAGGCTGGCGCAGAAGGAACACTCCTGCCCAGATCATGTCTTGACCCTTCTGTGGGGTATCAGCGCGACCGCCTCATCATGCTGATGACACAAACCGCAGTGCCGGCACTAGTTCAGGGTCAAAAGAGTAACGCCTACAGTTCTCGACAAAAACCCTCGCGCGAAAACCTCCGTTCCGAATCTAGCAACTATTACCCTTTACAACCGGCGTTGGACGATTCCAACGTCGGCCAGTCCTACTCAACTTATTCCCAGACCATCGCAGCCACCTCCTCCCTCATGAACGGCATTGCGGGGACCGCCCCGCCGGGCACCATGTACGTCCGAGCCCTGTACGACTACGAGGCCGACGACCGTACCAGTCTCAGCTTCCACGAAGGAGACGTCATTCAGGTCATTACGCAGCTGGAAAGCGGTTGGTGGGACGGCGTTATCAACGGCGTACGCGGTTGGTTTCCAAGCAACTATTGTCAGATAATCACGAGCCCCGATGAAATTCCCGACCATGACCAGAATGGCGATCTTGGCCCTGTCGACGACGACCAAGATGACCAAGAAGTCTATGATGAGCAGCTTGAGGAGGACGATGAGTCGGAGTTGGACGATCTTAACAACGCCCTTCCGCTCGAGGGCACCGACTTGAGCGACAAATCGAGAGCCGATTTCTGGATTCCACAGGCAACCTCCGACGGCCGTCTTTTCTACTACAATATGATGACAGGAGACAGGAGTATGGAATTGCCTTTAGAGTCACCCGTGTCGACCAACGAAACTGGTCCGCGCAATAGGATGAACGTCAATGTTCCGGAAAAGACACGCCCACCCCCGGAGATGATGGCGAGAGGGCTGACGCAGGACGAGGATGAGGACTCGGAGGCAAATTCGGCATCGGAGCTAGAGGGCGAGTCTCTCATGCTTGCGTCTCGCGGATCCTTGGTAAGGTGTCAATCCAGACGGATGTGTTCTCTCTTCTGACTAGGCCTACTCGTGGCAGCCTCGCAATCGACGATCCAACAACGACATGCTATCCCCGTCCACGTCCATGGACTCTATGAACGGCATCGCGCAAATCACTCGGGGAGAGAACAAATATGTGAACCCGAACTTAGCACCAAGCACCACGCCCATGATAGCATCTGCAACATCGTTCACGAGCACGTCCTACAATACGCCGCCCACCAGCACCGTTCCTCGGTCATTCTTCGATGATGGCTCAGCGCCCCCCCTCACGTGGACTCGCCTCGTATCCAACATGCGCAGAGCTGTAGATCGCTACCGTGACGCTATCACAAGCAACAATCGCTCCGAGTATGTTGCACGAGCAGAGGATATATCGGACCATTTGAGACTGTTGCTCGCGGCTGGCTCGGGCACCACAGATAACCACTCTGGCCAGCCTTCCATCATCTCAACAAACAAGGCCCTTTATCCTCACTTCAGAGACATGATGTCCAAGTTTTCAAAGCTCGTAATTTCTTCCCACATCGCTGCGGCTGACTGGCCCAACGCCGAGTCGGTACAAAAGTGCCTGCAAGAAGCCGATGGCGTTTTGCTTGGTGTCTTCAGCTATGTGGAGATCGCGCGACAGCAGAGGGGCGAGGAGATTCCTCGTCTGTTCCCTGGCTTCGTTATCGGCAGCTCCACGGGTGGCAGTTGGCAAAACAATGGCTTGGGGGCGCGTGACCCCATTACAGCCAACTTCCTCGAAGACGAGGAGGGTGTGGTCGAGCCAACAGCACTGCTAGATGGTAAGCTTCTGGAGCGGCTTGATGAGCTGAAGAGAATGCTCGTATTCAGCATTCGAGAACTGGACAAGAACTTGGTCGTCGGGGACAAGATCATGATGCCATTCAAGCATGAAGTGATTGGTAACAACGTTTGTCTGGCGGGTGGAAAGGTTTTGGAGACTTTTAAACCATGGATCGCAGTCATCGAATCGATCGACCTGTCTTCGTTGGGGAATAGCTTTCAAACGCCGCAGCTGGCAGACTTCAGCACCAACAAGCAAAGTCTGTACGACAACATGTCGGACCTCATCTTGGGTTGTCAAGCAGTGGCCGGGCCACTGGCTGACGAATGGGCAGAAGTGCGAGGTGAAGCTCTGGAAAGCCGTCTAGACTATGTTCGACAGTGCGCAAAGGCGCTGGAGACGAACTCGTCACACATCGGGTTCTCCTTGCAACTACTGTCGGAACAAGTTCAGATCAACTTGCAGCAGCAGGCCGAATCGCGGCAGAGGGAGGACGTGGCCCAACGGGAACAGCTGCGGAGGAACGATACAATGCCGTACGACAGACCCCATCAGCGCACCGAATCCCGAACCATACCAGCTCGACCGCCGATGATAACTTCACAGTCCTTCACTGAAGGAGACGGTACTGGCAACTTCAGAGGAGGCGACTATTCCAAGGTCAAGAAGATTTTGGGCGACGACCCCAATCCTCAGAGCAACTTGCCACCTGTCGATGATACTCCTGAATTCCTGAAACTAGATCACGAACCCGACCTTTCCTGGGACAACAAGCTGCAACCACCTGTGGTCAAAGGTGGCACCCTGGAAGCACTTGTCGAGCAACTCACCCGGCATGACAAGCTGGACTCGAACTTTAACAATACGTTCCTTCTTACGTACAGGTCGTTTACCACTGCCCAGGATCTTTTCAAGCTGCTCGTCAACCGTTTCGGCATTCAGCCTCCCGAGGGCCTCTCGCAATCTGACTTCGAAGCATGGCGTGACAGGAAACAGAAACTCATTCGCTTCCGTGTTGTGAATATCTTGAAGAGTTGGTTTGACAACTTTTGGATGGAAGACCACAACGAGGAATCGAAGCAGCTCATCCGAGATGTCTATACTTTTGCCAGAGATACGGTCAAGTCAACCGAGACACCTGGGTCAGGGCCTCTCATGACCGTTTTGGATCAACGTCTCAGCGGTAAGGAGGCTGGAGCGCGACGCATGGTTCAGACGTTGAATCAAAATACGCCGTCGCCTATCATGCCAAAGAACATGAAGAAGTTGAAATTCCTGGACATTGACGTCACGGAGTTTGCTCGCCAACTTACGATCATCGAATCGCGACTGTATGGCAAGATCAAGCCAACCGAATGCCTCAACAAGACGTGGCAGAAGAAGGTTGCTGAAGGAGAACCTGAGCCTGCACCAAATGTCAAGGCTCTCATCTTGCATTCAAATCAAATGACGAACTGGGTTGCGGAGATGATTTTGGCACAAATGGATGTGAAGAAGCGTGTCATCGTCATCAAGCACTTCGTTTCGGTAGCAGACGTACGTAAAGCAATCTCACGGCAATGCAAGTCTCGCACTAACAATACGCAGAAATGCCGAAGTCTCAACAACTTTTCTACGCTTACATCAATTATTTCGGCGCTTGGAACTGCGCCAATCGCGCGTCTCAAGCGGACTTGGGATCAAGTCCCGCAAAGGACTCAAGGTGTCTTGGAGACGATGAGGAAACTCATGGCCAGCACCAAGAACTTTGGCGAGTATAGAGAGGCTCTGCACGTGGCAAACCCGCCCTGCATCCCCTTTTTTGGTGCGTAATCCCAATGAAATGTGAAGTCAGTAGGAAGTGCTAACTCAGCCGAAAGGTGTTTATTTGACTGATCTAACCTTCATTGAGGACGGTATTCCGTCTGTCATTAAAAAGACGAACCTCATCAACTTCGCGAAGAGGGCTAAGACAGCTGAAGTTATTCGTGATATCCAGCAGTATCAGGCCGTCGGCTACTCCTTGCAACCTGTCCCCGAACTCCAGGACTACATTATCAGCAACATGCAAGCCGCTGGAGATGTACATGAGATGTACGACAAGAGTTTGCAGGTGGAGCCACGTGAGCGAGAAGACGAGAAAATCGTGAGGTACGTAGTTCTGGAAGACCAGTTCGTGTTCTTAGGCTGGACTCAGGCTGGGATGAGAACGCAAGCCTTGTCCGATACACCACTCATGTTCTTCGTTCCATGGCATGCTGCGTGGTCACTTTCTCTCGCTGACCCAAGGCCCTTCAACCTACACTCCTTCTGTCCGATTTCGCCCGCTCGCATCTAAGAACATATGCTTATACTATTAAAATCACAGGGTACTTGCCGAGTCAGGCTTCCTATGAAAGCCGGTTGTTGGGACGAGGTCGCCGCATCGCGCCTCCGCTACATGCACCACTACGACTGGTCGTCCATAGCCCCAACTCGATGCCGCTCATTCAACCAGTGTGCGGCAGCATGCGCTGATCATCTCTGCAGCCAAGTTGTGCCAGCGACCGGCCCCTTATGGGTCCGTCTCTGCGCCATACCATGGATTCATAGATGACTCCGGCCATCTTTAACTTGCGGGTATAGATTTAGCTCTACTCGGCTTTGGAGCACGCATGGTTGAGGACAGGGGAGTAGCGTTTCCAGGCAAACTTGGATCCGCCGATTCGAGCAAGTCGCGACTCCAGCGGACGAAAGAAAGGACGCCCCTACGAGCGTCGCGGGCCATTGGAGGCAGCGGCGGGTGTTCTCTAAAAGCGAACGTGGGCATAGCATGGCCCAGAGGCGAGTTGTAACATTGACAGCCACGACCACGAAAGGGGAGGGCCGGGGTGCGTGGGTATACTCACACCTATCTCGGTCGTCAGCCGGCAGGCAAGGGACGGATGAGCTATGGATGAAAAGATGAGTGAATGAATCTTGGTGTATGATATTCTGGGATAAAATCATGATGAATGCTTTTTTTTTTTTTTTTTTCGGAGCAGCTGGTCATGATCATGGCCTGTGTTTACTCCCCGAGTCTAGGAAGAAGTGGGAGGGCTTCACCGTTTACGTCGAGCGCGCGTTGCTTGGTTCAAAATTCCCGATTCCAATTTCTCATGGGCGTACTTTTGTCACGCTTTTGTGCATTCGCGTGTACAAATCAAAGTCCCACTGAAAGGGATGACCGGAGTGTGGTGCAACCTATACCGATCATTTGATACCATTGACGGCATGGCGAAGACTGACAGCGACGGGTATACCCTTCCAATGCGCCGAGTTACTTGGGGGTGAGTTTACGGCAAGATTTTTGTAACAGAATGAAGAAGCTTTCCTAGCTATGTATTATCACATAGCACTTGTTGTAACTGGGGTAGAAATGACAAATAGGAGGCATTGCGACAAGATAATGGTGACCAAGTGCAGCGAACACTTTCGCCGCCACTCGCCAAACAGTGTAATCGTTCAAGCGTCCGAACCATGCCATATAAATGATACTGGCCTTAATTCGTGGGTAATCATTAAGAATGACTGTCATACAATCCTGCCGTATGTTGGCCTAGTGTTGGTTACGTAGAAACATTGCAATTGCAACATGTACAGCTCCGAAAGAGACATTTGATACCGATTTGGTTGGGGTTAGTGACGGTGCAGCTTGGCCTTAATCTTATCTCCAAGGCTCTTCTTTTCCTTTTCTGTGTTATCGCCGGGACTGTGAGTTCGCTCTTCGCTACTGCTGGTCTTGTCGTGTTGACCCGGCTTGGCGGCGGCAGCCTTTGCGGCGGCAGCAGCAGGGTCTTTCTCGTCCATCAGGCCTAGTTAATTGTGTAAGCACAGAGATTTTGCACCGGTTCAGGTGCCTTGTACTTACGATCCGCCTCCCGGCCAGCCCCAGGCTTGGTTGCGTCAAAGTCACCACCATCAGCGGCTAGACCGGTACTCTTCACATATTTCTCTCCAGTACCTTCGCCATGACTCTTCTTCTGGGGACCATCCTCATCATCCGCTGCTGCATCGCCGGCAAGACCGCCATCGCCCGATGCGCCCTCCACTCTACCGGCGTCGCCTCCACGTTCTTTGGCCACCGCCTCCAACGGCTTCGGGCCAGGTCCGTCGAGCTTGTCGCCCTCATTCGCGGGGCCTGTCCCTGAAGTACTGACATCTTGACCCTTGGGTTTCGGGTCGGTAGCTGGGTCAGTCGGGGACCTTGTGTCAGTTTTGCCGGCGGCACTGTCATGCGGAGCTGCATCATCTGCGGAGTGTTCTTTCAGTTCAGGTTTGCCGATTTGATCTTTATGTTTGACGGTGTCTTCGGTCGTGGCAGATGTCTCTTCGGACACGGCAGAGGCGGTTGTCGACGTAACCTTTTCAGGCGCCGTGCGAGCGTCGTCCGCAATGCCGGCTTTCTTGGAGGGATTCTCTAGCGCTCGTGTCAGCATAGGCAATTTCAAGTGTGCCGTGCCTCTTCTTCTTCATACCGATGTTGCCGGCGTCATAAGGTTCGCCATTGCTGGTATTTCCGGATACGCCAGAGACAGGCTCTTCCTTAGCCTCATTTGTTCCCCATATGGCCTTGGTTGCAGCGCTCGCCATGGTATTGATGGCTTCCATTGTGACTGTCCTATGTCGGCGTTTGTGGAATGCCGCAGATTTTCCCGAGTCTCACGGATGTGAATACTGTCTGTGTGTTTTCGATCTGTGTGTTTTCGAATTCGGGGTGCGATGTGCTGGTGGCTCAATGAATTCGTGTTGGTAGATGCTGTCAGGAGGGAAGAAAGTTGGCGGGGTGAGGATGTCATGTGTCTTCTTATACATGCATCTTCGGCCAAGTCTGACGTCTTCAGGTCCTGCAGGTTCCTTGCCTACGTTTGCTACCTTCGTCGATGAGCGTACCTTGCTTAACTTGGACAGCGGGGGGGGGCTCATCAAGCGTTGGGTAGGGCATTTCCGGCACAAGTCCCTTCTGGTGCGGCTACGGTAGCGTGCTATGCAGGCTTTTGATGCAACGGCTGTTACGGCTCGGGTAAGGACGATATATCTTGGCCTAGGTCGTCTAGAGTGTACCTCAGCTACAGCAGCAGAAGAGGCGCATCGGGAGTCGGCTGTGCCGCCTCCTTGCCGGATATTTGGCACCATCTGTGTAAGTGAGGTACATAGTACACGAGCAGCGGTGGGCACATCATGGCTAGTGTAGCAGCCGCGTCCGGTCGTCGTCTAGATGCTTTTCAGTCGAATCCTGGCCTCGGATTCGTCGTCACGGCAGCAGAGGGGCGAGCCTAAAGCAAGGCAGTGTGGGTTTGGAAGGGGAAGGGTTGACGGGATAGGCCGGGGGCAAAAGCAAGCAGGCCGTGTTGCGATTGTTTTGTCATCTGGGAGCAGCGCTTCAAGCAAGTCACGTCAAGGCTGGCGCAAACGGATGAAGTGCAGTGGCTCCCGATGTGGAAAGGGGATGAAGGCCTGGCCAACGAGCGGACAGGCATTGGAGTGGTAGTTCGTCATCCTGCGCGCTTGTCCATCATCCCGCCAAGATAGCCCTGCGTCTTGACGGAGGGATGAGGGGCACAGGTGGGATCGGTCGATCGTTGGCTGGGAAAGTGGGACAGTCTGGGGGAATTTGAAGAGCTATGACGTTGGGCGGCACACGTGCTACATGGGATGAAGGAAGCAGCATCCCAGCGTGGTGGTGAGCTCAGGGAGAATCTGATGTGAACAAGATAGCGCACCGATTACGTCATGGGTCGGGTGAGTAGATTACCTTGGGTAATGTACGTGGCAGGTATGCAGTACCACCGCAGTATTCGGTACCAGCTCGAGACAGCAGGAAGCTTGGGAACATGGACCTTCGACAACCTGCCTAGTTGTGCATTCGCTGCGTCTTTGCTTTCGGTGCCTACCAGCAGAAGCCAAGAAGGGCACCATGTTTGTCCCGCTCCTGAAGCTTGGCTGCCGCTAAATAAGGGTCTTCTTCATGGAGACTCACGTTACCGCTTTCACAAGCGCCATAGGCCATAGCTGTGTTTTCATGCCACGCCCTTAGCCCAAGCAGCATTGCGTGCTTAGACCTGCAGCCAAGGCGGGACGGTGAAGGTGGAAAGCCAGGTCGAAGATCCCCCGGGTATCCAACGTCCCATTTCGTCACGTGCGGGACCTTCGGCGTTGAATCCGGCCGGATGCCCAGCGTTCTGGTGGAGTAGGTAGGCACCGAGTCGGAGTTGCCTGCCGTGAAGCAGATAGTCGATCGGTGTGAATGGCGTGGTTACGCCTTTGACAAAAACATCCGATGCGATGTGCCATTCCTCCAGGTCTTCCCCATCACGTGAATTGGATCGACTACTTGCCCGTACACTGTTTGAAGGCGACATGAAGTGGACCTCCCAGCGTTCTGGAATGTCCCTCGTGCGTTGGTCCACGTACTCGACTGGCCTAACCCAAACAACGTGCGGATGCGTCAGCCGCGCGGTATATCATGCCGCCATGCTGACACCAACTCGCTGTGCACGTTTGGATGGCCGTAGCCGACGGGTATGGGCTGGGTTAATCAAGTTCCTGCACCCGTTATCGCGACAGGTCTAATCTCGCGTGGACCTGTACTGAATCTCCGGTACATATTCCAGCTTTCTCCCGCCACACAGCTCTCCGGTGTGCATCGAGATATGGTCCTTCTATTTCCCTCATATCGAATTTTCCTGCTAGTCGGGGCGGCTGTGCCAATCAATGGCCAAGTAGCACCGTCCTCTGGAGGTCCGGATGAAGACCAGCACGTTATTACTTCTCACCAGGGCACGTGTTGAAATTCATTTGCCACGAGATATGTCCTTAACTGACCTTGAAGCCTCGCAGACTCCTTGTCGGGCACAACCCAGGTTGTTCCCCTCGTGAATCGTCCTGTATCACCCGGCACAGCCGGCCTCGTTGCGTTTGGGGACTCCTACAGCGCGGGAATCGGGACAGGCGTACATGGCAAGGAGACTGATTGTAGACTCGGAGAGCACGCACACCCTGTCTTGATCTACGCTGATCTAGCAGGAAGCCAAGGCCCCAATACGACAGCCTTCCAATTTCTTTCCTGCACCGGTTCTACAACTGGTAACATCGTGTCGGGGGGCGAGCGCAGTCAGATCGATAGCTTCAACGCCTCGATCAATGCAGACTTTGCGCTGCTTTCTATTGGAGGCAACGATCTAGGCTTCTTCAAGGTGATGAACGCCTGTATCTTTCGCTTCTACAGCTTCTACTCCGGCACATGCGAAACGGCACTGCATGAGGCGGCCGAGCAAATCGAGGGCAGCGCCTTTGAACAGCGTCTGGAGATGGTCGTCATGCAGATATTGGATAAGGTCCAGTGGGAGAAACGCCCTTGGTTCGTCATCACCGTCACCGGATACGCGCGCTTTTTCAACGCCGACACTGATGAGTGCGACAACTGCACGCTGGGTGTGTGGTCACAAGGCCCCAAACTTGATCGAGTCCGTGTCCGCAAGCGCATGAACGACCTGGTTCTCGCAGTCAACGATAAACTGAGGAAGTCCATAGACAACGTCAACTCCAGGTTCACGGTGCCCAAGGTGATTTTTGTTGATTATGATGCCAGATTCGATGGCCATCGCTTCTGCGAGCCCAATGTGACGGAGCCAGCTTACAACCGGACCGAGACGTGGTTCTTCTTGGTGGGTGGGAAGGACAACGATCCGAACGTGACGGACCCCACCCCGGCTCCGAATGCCACCATCGCTGGCGCCGGTTCCGACTGCGCGTCCGCAAGGACGTTGTCATCCCCATCTCCTTTTGTAGACCCAGATACCTGTCTGGGCCCTGCCGAAAGTTCCGGAGATTGGGGTTTGCTTGCCATCTGCTACATGGCCAGGGCACAACAAGAAGATCCATCGCTACGATTTGCCCGCGACGATATCATATCGCAAAACTCCATGTGGTATGTTCCTACATATTACGGCAAGACTTTCCATCCGTGAGTGATCTTTCTTGATGGTACATGCTGTCTCTGGCTTCCGATACTATAGACTGACGAGAACAAGGAGAAGCTTGGGTCACGAGGCGATCAAGGATGAGATATACCGCGTGTGGACTGAGCTAGGTTTTGTGTACGGATAGACGCCGCGGACAGCATACGTATGCGCATCGCAGCAGCTGTGATATACATTCGTCGCAAGCTATTCAAGGTGGCAAAACGTCGTAGTATGGGCCCTGCTAAATCGCAAGTTGTGCTAGAAGGAGCTCATTCACGATTGACAGTGATTCCTTCATGTAAGAGTCGTCGGACGTTGCCGCTCGCAGAACCTGGTTGTGGAACGACGTCGACCTGAGTGTGCTCGATTTCTGGGCATCAGTCGGAGAGACTCAGGTATCTGGATGCAGATTGCGCCGAAACTCCGTTCCTCACATGTCGACGGCAGCTCGGAGGACATGGCTGCAGGGGAAGGTGGTACCGCGGTCTCCTTGGGGATGCTGGTGCATAGGTTCGCCGGGGGTGTTCTTTGCTTGGCCCGGAGAAACTCTCGGGAAACGTCAAATACCGTAGAGACTCAGAAAAAGGAGAATCCCCATCCCCCCTGTATACAAGGGTCTGATTGGAAGCTCTAGTGTTAAACCAGCGAGCGGAGCTCACGTGAATAATTGGATTGGCCTGACAGGGGGGGTGCGGATTCTCCATTTTCTGAGTCTCCAAGGTAGAAAAGCTTTTCGATCATCGATGTCCTGGGTGCGCCTTCAATTGCTGCCACAGGTACTGCTTCTGGTAGGATCGGACGAAGCCTTGATATTGCCAGTGAAGGAGGAATTTCGAAAGAAAATTGTTCGCCGGAAGTGGTGCAATGGAGATATTCGTCAAGTGCAGATTGCAAACGAGAACGAGGGCGTCCGTATGGACAGACTGACTCCTTCAAATCTCGCGTTGCCCCCCTTACGGCGGTGTCTCGTGCAGAGAAACTTCCTATTGGGCAGCCTCGGCGTCGATCTGCTCCTCCACCTCCGCTTCTTTGGGCTTGGGAGGGGGGGATAGGGTTTGTCGAGTTGTCACCTCTGGGCGGCTGCTGCTCGCCACGTCGGCTCCGGACATCGGATATAAGTGCTACAATACGTAGCTGGCTATGCAGATGGGACGAAATAGAGAGTCTGAGTTGCACCGGAGGCCTGGTGGTCGATTGGGGTTCGGGCAATTGATTGCAGGTCAGTACTAAGCGGGATTGCAACGGAAGGGGGAAGGACAGAATGAAATAATGGTAAATTACGGCAAACTCCATTGCCCATGTTGTTCCCGTGCCTTTCGGTTGATGAGGGTGAGTTGAGCCAGAGTCAGTCAAAGTTGTAAAGGTCGGCAGTCATGACAAGACATAGGCAGCTAATTAACCCACTTGGCAACACATAGTACTGCATAGTACGGGCCTACGGAGTATGGACGGACTATGTATCCGTACTGCGTACATATTAACGAGACAGGGTACGATAACCGTTGGCCAGGATCGGGATGGCAGGGTGGTTCGTTTCGTTTGCTTCGGAGCAACGGACAGTGTCCCGGTGCCTGGAACATGGAACAAGAGCCCCTCTCCCCAGTATCGAGGCACACAGACCCAGCGATGCCGTCCATCGATGCAGTCAGGACTCAGACCAGGGGAGAAGAGCATAGAGTAGTGTACTGTGACATTTCACGTTCTGGCAATTTCCAAGGTCCTGCGTATTTGGACATGCCACCACACCACTGGCAGGACGGTACAGTGTGTACTATGCAGTATGGTTGTATGTACTTCCTGTGCCTTGTCCGTATTGTGCGTGCATGCTTGCATCTGCATGATGCACTCTGGAGGCAGGCAGCCCGATCGACACACCTCTCATCAGTCTCCTGAACTCTTAACTCAGCACGCACTATTCGTACGCAGTAAGTACGCCGTATGCGTGCCGTAGCAGGACCACCTCCATCCACTCTGGCCACGGTGCGGCGCGGTGCGGTGCGATGCGATGCGATGCGATGTCGCTGTGCCTATCGCCTTGCCGTACCTGGGTTGTGTGGCCGGTGCACGTTGAGGAGGCTGCCCGGGCAGCAGTCGGGGATTAGTTACGTGTCCTAGGTGGGATCGCGGGTTCATAGATGCGGCAGGATGGGAATCAGGGCCAACGTCTCGTCTTTACTCGAGAGTCTTCAGGGAGAGTTTTCCTACGAAGAGCGGCGCTAGGAACTTGCCGTGTTCTTGCACGGCATTGCCTGCTTGCGACGCCGCGGGCTTGGCCCTTGTGAATGGAAAAAGGGCTGTGGACATGTGTCGGTGTCTACTCTGTACTTAGTACTATTTGTCCTGTTTGTCTAGGACTCCATGTAATAGGTATACGTGCTTATTACACCAGTGCAGCGGGCCTTGGTGCTTGGTTGGTACTCACGCTCCGGGCTCTGTGGATAGAGGGGACCAAGTAAGGACTGGGATATGGATGGTTCAAGGTTGGATCGTGCCCACGTTGAGCATGTTTGGCACGCAAGCATGTGTCTTCATGGCGGACTAGGAGCCCGGGTCCGAGGGCTGCGCGGAGATGGAGATACCCAATGAGAGAGGGGCGGAAGGTGCTCTAGAAGTGCGTGTGTACGGTGGTATGCTTGATGTCTTCCACGCATGCCCTGTCAGTCTCCGAGTCCGAATTGAAGAGATACGCAGTAAAGTACGCCGTCACAGATACGACTGCAGCGACTGGGGTGGGCCAGAGTTTCTGTACATGTTGATGTAAATACGTCAACCATCTCTGAGATGAAACTCTCTGGTAGGTAGGGCTCGGTCAACCTTACCTAAGCGTGCTTGCCCTCCTTGTATGAGGCGGGATTCATTGACGGATCCCGCTGGGAGGTGAGGCACCTTACCTAGGTACCTAGGTTGTCAGTGCCTTGGGACGCCCTGTGCCCTTGCTCAACTCAATGCCGGAGCTTTCCCCAAGTCCGAGCTGCAGCCACACACACACACACACACACTGACACACTGGCCCTGGACCTATCTAGGACGACCTCATGCCGCTATCTACCTAACAGTCGTGCGCCCCCCTAGTAGGCGAGTTGTACCTTCACCGTCGGGTGTCTCGAGTATCAACGGCTCTTGGGCAATTCTCTGACGTCTGCATCGCCAACTTCGACTGCTTGGGGGCACATCCCTCCTCGGGAGCTGCATTCCTTCACACCAAGAATTACCTCAGGTAGTCAACCTGTGCCTAGTTAGCAGCCATCCTGTCTTGCATAGCACTGCCCTCCTGCCTTTTCCTTCAGAGACAACATATCCAAACCCCAGAGTCTTTCCTTTCCGTCGAGTCTAGACATCTCCCGCCCGTGTCTTGCAGCCCTTGACGACTCAGCTGCTTTGTTCCCCCTCCCCTCCCCGGTCCTAGTGTCATTTGGATCCGCGACGGGAGCCTCCACGCCCGCGCCCACCCCCCCCCTCTTCATGCTCATCCTGCTGGTCCCCTCTCGTGCGCCCGTCCCTTTGCTTTTTAGGACTTGGGACTTGGGATTGGAGCCCCGCGCAGAGTGCAGTGCGGCTTGGAACTCTGGGACAGCTCCTAAACCTGGACTTGGCTGACAATCCTCTCCGCACCATCACCCAGCAGCTAATTACAACACTGTTCGTACCGAACCGTACCATACCCTACCTTGCCTTGCCTTGCCTTGCCTTCCGCAGACTAAACTTCTCTCTTAACCTTGCCTTGTGTGTCATTCTCTGTCTCCTAATAGGGAACTGCTGCGGATACTTCTTTTTCTCCCACCTCTCGTCACTTCTCACCTCGACCTCGTGACACGCAACTCGACCGCTGGACTCGATCGAGACACTCATCCGCCGGCCTCGTTGCCAACGTCTCTCGTTCCCGCCCGAATTGCCATCGTCGCGGGGTCTATTGCTCGACATCAGGGTGGCATAGTGCTGCCTTTCTCCCCGCGTGATGGGCCAGTCGTCCTAGCCCGCTCCAGTTCGTACCGAATCACCATCCACGCCGCCATCAGCATCAGACTCTCTAGGAACTGATATTGACGTCCGTGGCCTGCAAAGCCTCTCCGCCGCAAGAATGGTATACTGCGGCAAGGCCTCTCAAGGTTGCCAAAACTGTCGGACTCGCCGTATCAAGGTCAGCCGCGTCGCCCCGTCCCACCCTCGGCACGTTCGCCATCTCTAAGCCTACTGCCGCCCCCATCTTTTAGACGTTGAGAATAGATGAGCGCTTCATACAGGCAGGTGCAAGCTGTATCGTGACTGACAAGAACCCCTTTCAGTGCGATAAAGTGAAGCCCGAATGCTCACAATGTATTCGTGTGGGCAAGAAATGCCCTGGCTACCGAGATCAGCTCTCTCTCATGTTTAGAGACGAGTCAAAAAAGGTGATCAAGAAAGCTCACGCGCAGTGGGGCGTCCCCGAGGGCTCCGAAAACGAGAACGGATCTGCCATATTGTCCATGTCGACTGCTCCGACTCCGCCATCGTCGTCTCCAGCTTACAGCCGAAAGAGCTCACCGACTAGCGGCGGAAATGCATCACGGTCAGGAAAGGCTTCAGCCTCACCAGTTTCCGCCTCCGTCTCCCCATCTTCGAGCCACCACTCTCCGGGCTCGGTGTCTCCGATGGTGTTACCGATTGTCAAACAAGAACCAGTCCGGGAGACGAGTCCTTTGACTATTCGCGTTGGTCCTACCCTGGAGGAACAAGGCCTGCAATTTTACGTCAATCGATACCTCGTAGGACATCCAGATGAAGTCAAATCGGCCTCAGATCTTGCCTCAGAACCTTGGGTATGGCACCCAGCGTTGCAAGATGTTATGTGCGCCGTGGGGCTTGCCGGGCTGCACAATCTGACGGGAAACATTGAAATGATGTCGATGGCACGGGAGAAGTATGGGTCTGCGCTACGTCAGACAGGAAAGCTGATACGTCCGCCGCACACCCCAAGTATTGACGTAACTATGAGGGCCGTCGTGGCACTAGCGATGTTCGAGGTAGGTTGCTGGTGCTCTGAAGAGCGTCTGCGAGACAATGCTTGAGGAACCGCAAATACTGACGGTTAAAAAGGTTGTCAAAGGAACCCACCATTCGACAGGCACTGTTCATGCCCATGTCATGGGTGGTGCTGCATTGATGAGGAGTTGGTGCCCGATGCCTAGCGTGCCCTTTGGTGGATTTAGAGCCCTACTGCAGTTGTGTTACTCGATGGTAATTCCTCCACCCCACAGTCTACGCTAAGGTATGCTAATTTCGTAGTTTATTCCTCTTCACGTAGCGGGGATGCCGATGCCTCCGGACTTCTACGACTGGGTTTCTTACGGATCGCAACTACAGATGCCTTTTGATCTTCCTTCCACCGATCTAGCAGTCCTGATCGCCCGCTTTGTAGAAATATCTTCTTTCATCACCAATCACGTTGTTAGCGACGGCAAACCCAAGACGGCCAATGTCATCCAGCAACTCCTGGAATTGGACGCTGACCTTTCGGCTTGGGAGGCGGGGCTGAAGGGGGAATGGGAATATCGTGTCGTCCACGCGACCCATTTGCCACCGAAGGCAGTCTTCCAGGGTGAATACCACAAGTACCATGATGTCTGGACTGCTCGCATATGGAACTACTACCGATGGGCCCGAATACTGGTCAACCAGACCCTACTCGACTTGGCAAATCAGAATCCTGTATCAAGTTTGTCCTTACTGTCAGCAGCTGCGCGCGACAAGCTCCTCAAGCTCATACGAAAGCTTGCGAAGGACACCTTAGTCAGCGCTCCAACACATTGGCGACACCCCGTTTTAGACGAGACGGCGCAGGTAACCGTGGAGAGTCCGGGAGGAGGGGGGGCTGGATCAGCAGGACTGCCGGCTTTACTGTTTCACCTGAAAGTGGCAGGCTGCGCTCCTGGGGTCCCAAAAGAATGTTGGGAATGGTCGCTGGCTGTTATTCAGACGATATGGAGTGACATGGGCATGCTACATGCACGATCGATGATGGAGGCCATGCGAGCCCACGAAGACACGGTGCACAGGACCGGGGCAGCAGGCATTCTCGCAGACGACTGGTGATGAGTACAAAGACGGTTTCATAATTGGCGTACAGGGTAATTTTTATGATCTGCGAAATTGCGAGGGCTGAAAGGAATATCTGTGCTGCATTGGGATCTGGACTTGAGGTTAGGTGATACCATCATTTTGGGAGCATCAGACATTTGGATGTGTTGGAGCATCCGAGAAAGGGCTTTTCTTTACTGGCAAAACCCGGATACGATACATTGGTTATATGAATCGGATTCGAATGAATTAAGAGACGAATGGTACGGAAAATCCGCTGTTTCCTGGTGAAAGACCATTCGAATTCTTGAGTGCTGTTGGGTTATCTCGCTCCCGACGGGCCGAGCAACTAGGCGGCGCGACTTTTGATATCGAGACAGTGCGAACGGCATTTGTTCGATGATATTGGCACGGACATCAGAGTCCAACAACCTATGGGAGCTTCCACTGCGGAGACCTGCAGCCGCAACGCGTGACCCTGCCTACCGTCCACCAGGGTCAGCCAAGGCATCAATCAACGACAGTCGACCACTACCATCATCCGCACACCTATGCAATCCAACATCATTTCTCAGCGAACGACACCGGCGCATCCAATGAAACCTCGGTGTTCTGGCGCATACTGGCTGCCATGAAGTAACGCTTCTGGCCGAGTTTATCATCGCCGGACTCCGAAGACACCCTCGCGCGTCATCGAGGCCGCCCAACCCAGCCCGTCGCATCGCATCGCATCGCCACCTCCATCGGCAAAAGCTACTCCATCGCCCATAGCGCACTAACCTAGCCTCTTTCCTGCATCAGAAAAGCAGTAATCATGGCGACTGTATCCGAATCGAAAAAGAGTAAAGAGCCTTATGTGTTAGGCCCGTAGTGCGAAGACGTACTAATCCAAGCCTCGTATTCAGATGATGAGCAAACGATCAAGGTTGCCTCCAAAAAGGACACCAAGAACCAATCCAACGGACCTATCAAGCTGAAGAAGCCCGCGCCGAAGTACAGCAAACCCGGAAATTGGAGGGAAGGGAGCGTCATCGACGGTAAGATGAATTTATCGCCACCATAAAACCTGTCAGGCAACCAAGCTCATGCGGATGACTTCTAGATGACAAAAAGTCCAAGAACTCCGAGTCAGCATCAATCTCCGTAGCCTCGCCAGGCCCGGTAGTCAACCCCCTTGACGACAACGCGCGTGAAGCGTTTGCGACCGGTCGACCCCTCGAGGACAGCCCTGATCTGCAACAATGCAAACATTGCAAGAAGAGCATTCTCAAGACAGCCGCAAAGGCACACATTGCGCAGTGTCTAAGGTTGAAGAAAGAGAAGGCTCAGAGGAAGAAGGAGGCGAGAGAAGCCCGCGAGCGAGCCAAAGAGGCCGCGAGAGAGGAAGAAGCCAGAAAGGCTGACGAGGATGGTGACGGCAAGGGTGAAGACGACAGCGACGGCGATGACGATGGCGCTGAAAAAAAGGCAATCGGGAACAAGACCGCTAAAAAGGCCGCAGGCAAGAAGACAGATGGAGAGGCGGGCAAAGGGAAAAAGCGCAAAGCGGATGGCGATGCGGATAAGGGGCCAAAACAGAAAAAGAAAAAAGAGGAACCGAAACCCAAAGCCCCCAAGCCGAAAGGTATGAATTGCCCACATATCAGCCACATGCAGGCAGGCATACTTACCTTTCAAAGGACCTGTTGATGTTGAGCGGCAGTGTGGTGTTCTGCTGCCAAATGGTCAGCCATGCGCGAGATCACTGACCTGCAAGAGCCATAGCATGGGCGCGAAACGTGCAGTGGCGGGACGATCTTTACCATACGACATGCTACTTGCTGCATATCAGAAGAAGAACCAGGCAAAGCAACAGAGTAAGTCTACCCAGCGGGCCCTACATCCAACTGACGATTTGCTTACTTTTTATCTAATCTGTAGAGGCTGCGCTCGATGCCAACGCGCCGCTCGAGGACGAGGACGAAGCCAATGCGGGACCTGTGGACTCCGATGAGGAAACAGCCGCCGTCATGAGCGCGCTGGCGCACTGGAACCCGCAGCCCGTGGTACCACAACCAGTGTTAAACCCAATCAAGAGACAATACCAGCTCGCACGTCTTCACGAGCAGCTGCAAATGGCCACAAACGGTGGCCGAACCAATATTTTCAAGGTTGTAGGTTTAGGTGCCCAAAAACTGCCTGATGGCCACTCAGGGTTAGTTGATGGAGAAGACGCACCAGGAGAGCCGGATACTTCTGTCGCCAATTTTGGCGCTTCTCGAAGATCGTCAAGTTTCAGCATGCAGGGGCAGCCACAGCGTAGGCAGTCGGTAACAAGCAGAGCTTGAAACCAGGTAAACGGGCGCCCCGGCTTGGGGTGACTATGTCGGATCATTCGGCATCTGCAAGATGCGTTACTGGCTTTGCGGCTTGGGGACTGGCTCAGGAACTCGTGCATTTCATGAAAGGGAAGGGAGGCGTCTAGGTTTCGCGGTATACCAATTCTCTAGGACTGGAACTTTGGGCTGTTTGGCAGTGGCGTTTTGGTCGTTGAACGTCTGGCTCTAGCTTTACATCAGGCATTGAGCGTGGATACTGAGTATAGGAGCTGCGTTATAGACGGGCACGCATGACCTGGTCCACCTCGAAGAACTCAGCCAAAGAGTGTCTTGAAAATTCTCTCGTGGTGACCCGAGGAACATGGATTCTTATGTGTGTTGTGACAGACGCTGGATTTGCTCATCGCCTACAAATTCGTCTTTAAACCACGTATCCTCACTGAGTCTCACTGAATTGCAGTCTATTTCACACGAAGACTTGACGGTTTTGTAGCAAAGGTGAGAGAAAACACCTACAAGTGATCGATCACATGGCAAAGTGGGCCTCTTTCCAACCACAGGATTACACACATGTGAGTGCCGTCAACAGCGACCGCGCTAATGACGTCGTTAAGCTACCCCGGATTTGCGCTAATGGGTCGACCAGCCACTTCAGCGCGACGAGGCCTCGGCAATGCATGCTCCTCTTCCAACTTGAACTCGATTACTTGAGGATAGATACGAAAACAATCTACTAGTATGTGGCTTCCACCGCCAGTTTCCACGCATTGGCTTCTTTTTAGGAAATGATTCAGAAGCACGACGCAGCATAGCATCTTTTGCAATAAGCTGAACCACGAACGCGCGATCGCTTGTGCAGGGTTCACCGAGCCTACACTCTGATCCACGACGTCGAGAAAGACCCATCTTCTCACATGCTGAGTCACTCGTCAACTTGCGGATCCCGCCTTCTGCTGTCCCACGCACCACCATGCCCGCAGGCGTTCTCGAGGCCTTCGGCCATGCCCTTGCCGGTGCTACAGGAACAGCCTTCTCCACAGCGGCCGTATACCCTCTCGATCTCGTTACGACGCGCCTTAAAGTGCAGCGCCAGCTGAGACGAGAAGACTCCATATCCAAGAAGGAGCAGTACCGCGGGGTCCTCGATGCGCTCAAGACGGTTGTGACGCAGGAAGGCGTCTCGGCGCTTTACACGGGTCTTGCACAGGATATCTTCAAGTCGGTCACCGACTCCTTCTTGTTCTTCCTCTTTTACGCATACTTCAAAGACACGAGCCGTCGCGCCCGCGGAAGCAAGCTGCCGGCTATCGAGCAGCTACTTGTCGGCGCGCTGGCGGGCGCCTGCGCGAGAGCCTGTACAACACCCATTGCCAACGTCGTTACGAGAAAACAGACTTCGGCCATGATGGAAGATCAAGACGACGAGCACACTTTATCTATATGGAGAATCATGGCAGCGATTCGCGCCGAGAATGGTATTCGAGGGCTCTGGGCTGGGTATTCAGCGTCCCTTCTCCTGACCATCAACCCAAGCATAACTTTTTTCCTGAACGACAAGTTGGCCAAGACCCTCCAGCCCGATTCCGACGAGGCTTCATATAACACCCAGACGACGTTTCTCTTCGCTGCCGCTAGCAAAGCCATTGCTACCACGATCAGCTATCCACTACAGACCGCCAAGACCAGGTTACAAATAAGGGGCTCCGGGGGTCCTTCGCCCCGGAGAAGCACTGATAGCGCGGGGAGATATTTCGAGAAAGACCCGCAAAGTCCCGCTTCCTTCGGATCGAATGAAAATAGGCGAAGCAAGCTTGAGAGAATGGCCGAATACAGCGTTCTCGCTCTCATCATCTCTATCGCTAGAGCCGAGGGCATTACCGCATTGTATGCGGGTCACCCGGGCGAAGTGCTGAAGAGCTTTTTTAGCCATGGGCTAACCATGGTGTCCAAGGGCATCATTCACAAACTGGTCCTCCGTTTCGGCATTTTCATAGTGATCTTCTTGCGAAGTAGGTCGCCTGCTGCGAGGTCACAAATGCAGCGTCTTCGGCAGATGGTCCTCAGGCTGCTTTGAGCGGCCACAGCACACCCTTTGCCCCCGTCCAGGGCCATCGCCGAGGCTATGGCCACATATGACAATAGAATCGGGGTTGCTCTTGATCTGATACAGCTGGCTTCTTATGATACATCGTGCTCTGCTTGCATCAAGTCGATACTGTCGTCAGCTTCAAGTCTGCATCCTCATTACTCGCTAGCATTGAAAGGCGGCGACAGCCGTCTTCTCTACCATGTTCGCCCCGCGCGCAGAGAAGCCGGTTCCCTCAGACCTGAGTTCAATGAGCCCAGGAAATTCTTGCTTTGATTGTCTTGGCTTGCTCTTTGAACCACTGGACGCAAGTCTTGCGTCACAGACATAGCAGGCATGCTCCTGCTCCGCAGAAATGTTGCCTTTGACCGGGGCCATGAATTTGGTCGCACAGCCTCGACATATAACATGGCCACAGCTCTCCGCAAGCTGTGGTCGCGAAGCGTTGCCAAGAGTCTTGAGACAGGAGGGGCAGATACGTCTCGTTCCATCCGCACCTGTGTCGGCTTCTTCTTTGAAGTTCAGCTGTATGAGGCTCTTAAGAGAGTAGGGATGTTGAGAGTCATCGGGCGACGCGGGGCAGACGGGATTGATTTTGGCTTTTTTTATGACAATTGCCGCTTTTCGGGCTGCTTCGGCATCGGGAGTTTGGGAAGGGGTCCAGAAAGACGGCAGAGACTCTTTAGAGGCCTAAGAGAATGTTAAAAAAAAAAACCAGCACAAGAAAATTATGGTCTGTGGCAAGATTTGGACCTTTTCGTACTCAATTGACTTCTTGGCTTTGTTGCGATCACCCTCCGCTATTCTCTCCAGCTCTTCTTGATCCAAGACAAACTTCCTTTTCGAGCCAACCTTTGCCGTGATAGACCCAGAATCGGCCTCATTTTCACGTGTCGAAGATGAAGACGATGGCGCCGCGGTTATTGAAGACAACGCAGGGTTCAAACCTGCTTGTAGCATCTCAAATTCCTTCATGGCACGTTCCTGAGCTTCTGCATCTTTACGAGCAAGAGCCTCGTGAATCTCCTGCTCGGCCTTCTCTCGCGCACGCTCTAGGCGTTTGATCTCCTTCTTTTGGGCTAAAAGGTTTGCAACAGCGCACTCTCTGCAAAAGACATCGCCATGACTGCAAGAAACCGGGTCCCTGGCGATCTCGAGGCAGAGGTAACAAGAGCCGAAGGGAAGGAACGAGTCTCTGTTAAGTCGGGCAGACGTAGAGGTCCATGCAGCCTTGGCGAGGTCACGTTCGTGCGAGGTGAAAACACTGCGCGAAGTGTTTCTCTTGCCTGGTCAACATCAGTATCGGGCGGGGCATATATTTTGGTCATGGTGTCGCGCCTACTGTGAGCCATGTTTACCGTCGGACTCCGTTTCTTGATGCCTTTCCCCCGAAATGTTTGGTTTTCGAGATGACGGAAATGCCTATGTTGCAATTTTCCCTGGGGTAACTTGAGGTATACACAAGTGATGTGGCAAAAGGTGGAAGTGAGCTCCGAGAAGCTAAAGCTGAAGGAACGAGAAGCTCAACCAGGTGCCTGGCTACCTAGTGCCCAAAGAAGTTCCTGGCGCGGTATCCGTAGGATGGTAAGGTAAGAAGCCGTGTCGCGACAGTGGGCATACAAAGCAGACAGGGGTAGGTCTCGATGGAACGACGGGATAAAATCATAATGCATTGATGAGGCTTAATCTTTCTAATAACGGGGCGATTGCATCAGAGCGATCCACCGTTTGTTGAGCCCCAGGTTTTTCACGCCCATTTTGCCTGTCATTCTCTCGCTCTCTCTAATCAAGGATCGTTCGGGTATCATTAGCCCTTAGTTGCTTCGCCTCGCTGCGACGAGACTGAATGAGATTCTGGCCGCTCCCGGTCGCATTGTCCCAGTTTAGTCCGTGGTGGGGGATTTGGTACATGACACTGTTAGGCATTGGTCACCCGGTACGCCACGCGTGTTGCCTCTTCTGCAAACATTTCTGAAAGGTTCAAGGTGAGCAGTGCAGGCAAAAGCACTTCGTACCCCTAATTTTCCAATTTTCTCCCACGGGGCTCTATTCCATCAATTTAAAAGCGGCGTCATCCGGCAGATCGTTATCTGCGGAACAGATATGGCGGCCACCGAGGCCATGCCAGATCGGCCCAGCTTGCCATGGCGCATGGCATCAGCAACTGTCATGACCCTGACAGGAGCAATTTCTCGAGTCTTTTTGTACGCCCTCAACGATATTCAGACGGAGGGTCAAGACGAGTTTCTGGGCCTCTTGGACAAGCGTCGTGCTGGCCATGCCGATCGTGGTCTGATTACTGGTATTTATGCTTTTCTATCAACCACACTCGTCCGCAACCCCCCTCTTGGTGAAGAACGCGATTCGCTGATAATGGGTTCCCGCACGCAGTCTCTAATCATATCAGCGTGTGGGTTTGACTTGTGTGGTTTTCGTAGCGAATGCGTCAAGCTGATGCATCTCGAAACCGCAGTCTGGATGACCCCCTGATATGGGGAGTCTTGCCACTCAGGTACAACATGATCCCCGAAAACAGCCGTTGGAGCTTGGGAGCTCACGACATCTGCTTCAAGAATAGGTTTATAATAACCCCTCTCAACCGCAAGTCTTGGTAACATAGAACTCACTCATGTTCCAGTTTCTTTACGACCTTCTTCACTCTTGGTCAAGTCCTACCAACTTACCGAATGCTGCATTCTCCCCACGGAGGGCTATTTCAGCCGACCATGACCCAGGCCATCCGCATACTCTCCGGACCGGGCTCTGTGTACACTCGTGGCGCCACCTTCAAGGCTGGTGCCAACGAGAACTTCAAGTCGCCCGCATATTACGGCGTTAATCATAACGCGTGGATCCATGTCTTTCCGGAGGGATGTGTACATCAGCATCCTCAAAATGCCCTGAGATACTTCAAATGGGGAGTGTCGCGGTTGATCCTTGAGTCCGACCCTGCCCCCCAGCTGGTCCCCATCTTCATCGATGGATTCAAAAACATCATGCCAGAGGACAGAGAATGGCCACGGTTTTTACCGCGCATCGGTGCTAAGATCCGAGTCATTTACGGCAGCGCCGTCGACGTCGATGAAGTTTTCAGAGAATCACGCTCAAAATGGAAGCGTATGGTACGAAAACAAGAGGAGGTTTTAGGCAGGTCATTGAACGCTGGCGAGGTACCTGAAGTACTCAAAGATCACCCCGAGGCTATTCAACTACGCATGGAGGTCGCCAAAACTGTCAGGGCAATGGTTCAGAACCTGAGGCTCAAGGCGGGCTACTCGGATGATGACCATTCGTACGCGCTCGCAAAAACCTGGGAGAGAGAGCCCAAGACAAAGCATTTCCATAGCCCCGTCGATGACAGTTTGGTCCGTAAGGAGTAGGAGGCTGCGCGTCCTAGAAAAGACGAATATCAAGGAATTGGCGGCATGCATAGTTCAACCCCATGGGTTCTTATTGAAAACAAAAGTAAGAACGAGCTGTAGAATAAAGGAGTCCACTGGTCGACCTGTATTGCTTGAATGCGCTTGTTACGACAATTTTATGTGCCCTTCGACTTTGTGACCTGCTTCACAACAGTCTTGCAACAGTCAATGGAAAATAAAGACTCAAGGCCCCGGGATGCCTCCCGCTGGATCCGACTATGCCAGAAATGCCAAAACGAAGTTTCAGAAACTCTCCCTTGGAATCAAAGACCGTACGCCTTGAAAACCATACCCAACGAGTCAACTTCAACCATCGCAATCAGTACGCGTCGTACGAAGCCTGGCCCGGATAAGCTCTGGCTTGCGCCTGCAAGGCTTGTTGCTGATGTTGCTGCATCACAATGTCGTTGAACCAGGGGTGTTTGAGCGCCTCATGCGCGCTGATGCGAAGTTCGGGGCGCAATTGAAGCATTCTCTGAAGCAAGTCGATACCAGTTGGGTCAATTTGTGGCAGAATTTGGCGTAGATCCTGAGTGGCATACATCTGGAATGTCGGCTTATACTCAGGGAACTGTGTGATGCCGGTCCACGTGCGCTCAGTCGGTGTTCCCATTATGCGGAAAATGCGGATGATTTGATCCTCGTTTGTTGTTCCGGGAAACAAGGGCCTTCCAGTGTACATCTCTGCCATGATGCAGCCAGCAGACCATATGTCGATGCTGGTGTTGTATGTCCTGCTACCCAGAAGCACATCTGGTGCCCGGTACCACAGCGTCACCACCTCGTTGGAGAAGGTGTTGACAGGGATGCCAAACGCGCGAGCCAAGCCAAAGTCGCCAAGTTTCAGCTGCCCTTTGCCGTTGATGAGGAGATTCTGTGGCTTGAGATCTCGGTGCAGAACCCTATTCTGGTGGCAGAAATCGATGCCCCTTAAGAGCTGGTACATGAATGACTTGATTTGATGAGGCTTCAGGGCCCCTCTATCGCCGTGTGTATCCATGTACTTCTTGAGGTCGCCGTCCATGTATTCAAACACCAGCATTAGCTTGTTCTCTGTATGGATGACGTCGTGGAGTGCGACGATGTTCTCGTGCTTGAGCTCCTTCATGAGGGAGATTTCTCGGATTGCTGTTGAAGGTGTACCTTCCTCCGAGTCGAGGTGGATCTCCTTGAGAGCAACGAGCTCTCCCGTTTGGCGATTGCGACCTTTGAAAACCTATGACAATTGTCAGCGGAGGAGACAATTTTGTACTGCTAGAAGGACGTACCGTGGCATAAGTTCCTTCGCCTAGCTTCTCCAACTGCTGGAAGGAGCTCGGATGTCTCTTGCCGTCCATGTCTGATTATGATCGAAAGCGTTCGTACGAAATGGGCGAGCTGATCTATGGTCGGGTATCTTCGAAAGGAACTGCTCGCGCAGGCGAAAAGAAGAAAACGAGTGGTTCTGGACGGCACCAGCCAGAAAATAAGCGTCTCGGGTTGGTACGCAGAAAAGTCGAGTGCACTTGACAATCGCGGTTTGTTCCGTATTCTCTTTGTGAAGTGAAGCCTCACGAGGCTGTGTCTGGACGGCTGTATAGGGAGGCAAGAAGTGCGTGAATGTGTGGTTGTGATAGATGCGAAAGCGGCTTGTCGTCAAGTAGGGACTGGGACGGGACGAGACGGTAAGGCAGGTAGGTAGCTGCTGCATACGGCGGCTGTCGATGGGGGGCTTCGTGTCCGCCTGGTGAGTCAGGCCCTAGGGAGAGGCGAGTGACGATTAGGGGACCTGCCGAGACTACAGAATACAGCCTCTGAACTAAGTAGGTACCTATGGAGGGGTAAAATGCAGCGGCCAGCCGCAGCGGGTCGGGTAAAGCCTGGATCAGCTCACCCATGGAGGCAGTCTGCCCGACATCATACCTAAGGTAAGGTACGGATACCTAAGGTATGATAGCTAGGTTCTTAGGTTGGCTTATGTCAGCAGTGTTCCACCCCAACACCCCACACTACCTTACCTACCTGAGGAGTACGCATGTCACTGGTCATGCGCCCCTTAGGAGGCCCACCGAATCTCTTATCAGCTTGCGAGTTGAACGTTATCTACCATTCCATCCGCCAGCGACCATACTGCGCCATCGTCTTGACTTCCCGACAACCTTCTAGACTGTGTCTGAATATCGCCCGTTCGCCCACTTGATTCCCCGAACACCCCATCTCTTCCAACTACACAGCAGCTGCCTTATCAACTTGGACTGATGATAAGCCGGCTTCAAAATGCGCCCTCTTCCTGGCAGCAGCACCTTCTCGGGGCACGCTTTGTCTGGTGATGGAGCTGCCGATCGCTTCACATCGCAGTCTTCAACTCCTCAAATGTCCTTCATCATTGCAGATGAGACCGCCGTGGAAACAGCCTTGCCATCGCCTTGTCACACCCATCCTCGTGCTCGCGATCGAAAACGTCCAATACACAACCATCTTCCTGCCGGCACCGCGTCGAGCCGTGATTCTAGTGCAGCGCCCCCTGCGCCTGCTCCCCGTCCTAACCTCACATCCACGTTGCAACCTCGTGAAGCCATACAAAACCGACTTCCAGTCACAAGCAATAGGTCGCCAACGAGAATACAGACACCTCCGCCGCTGACACCGTCTCAACCCATGACACCCATCCTCTATGGCGTCTCCGGCCCATGTTCCGCCATAAGCAGCTCCTCCTCGCGACGAAACTCGTTGGCAGGGTCGCTGTCCGAGTACCAAGAGAGCTTCGTCATGAGCGCCTTCGGCGCCTCTGAGTCTGGTCAAGCTCAGAGTTCGTACAACGGCGAGGGTGCCCAACAGTTTATAATGCCTACAATCAGTGTCCCCAGCCGACGACCATTTACCGAAGTTGGAAAATCCTTGGGGAGGCTCAAATTGCTCGTGGCGGGCAAATCAGGTACATGCCCATGTCTTCCGTCGAGAGGGATTGAAAATGGTTACTTACTGTGATCAAACCTCAGGTCTCGGGAAGACATCTTTGATCAGAGCTATCACGCAGTCATGTCCTCACGTTGTGCATGTTGATCCCACAGTGCCTATCGCCATGGCATCCACCGGACTGCTGCCAACGAATACGCTTCCCTACGACCCTCCAATGGCCCAGGGTTCCTTTCGTATTACTAAAACACTCGCCAGTACAAAGCCGTATCCCCAGTGGTGGAGAGAACCAACCTCGATCAGTTCCCTATCTGGTTCCGATACTGCCGGCGACATGGTTCTAGACAGGAACGTCTGCTTTGTTGACACGCCAGGTTACCAGGAAACATGTCGGGTATGCCATCCCAGCTCGTATCGTAGCCTGTTTACCACTGCTGACATCTCAGCCGTCCGATACTGTTGAGCAAGTTTCGCACTACGTCGAATCACACTTGCACAAATGTCGACTCGACGACCTCAATGATTCCAATGTCTTAAGGACCATTAGTGGAGGAGGTGGTCTACTTGTAGATGCCGTGCTGTATATGATTTCCTCTTCAGGTGAGTCTGTAAGCCAACTTTTGCGGGCACCTATGATTGAACATGTACAGGCCTCAGTTCGACCGACCTGCACTATATTCGCCAGCTTCAGTCGCTTACGAACGTCGTGCCTCTCCTGGCTCAGGCAGATTTGCTAACAGTGGGTGAGATGACAAAAAGCAAAGAACGGATTTCCCGCCAGCTAGCCGATGCTGGCCTTGACCTTTTTACGTTTACTTCACAAGGTCTGGATGCGGCAGGAACGTTGAACATCTTCGCAATCTCTAGCAAGACCGGCACAGACGACGATGTAATGGATGCTAGTATCCTAATGAGTCCGGAATATGTTCAACCTCTAGTACCGACAGACCTTTCCAGCCTAGTGAGCTATATCTTCAGCTTCGACGGGGCCGCATGCTTGCGTCACAACGCGGCAAAGAAGCTACTTGGTTGGCGTCGTCGGGACGCTGCCACGGGCAACGCGTCTTTCGCCATCGCAGCACAAACAGGTTCAACAGCAGAGAGAAGAATGCTTCTGACTAGGACCAATTTTTCGACCCCTCTCACTGTGAGCCGCGTGTCGAACTACAGCCAGCACGAGGAGCGCTTCTGCCGCCTCCAACTGACGAACTGGGCTGCAGATTTACAGCGCAGTCTGGTCAGAGAACGGCTAATGCGCGAACGAAGATCGCGAGAGCAGGCATCTCCGTGGCTGAGAGGAACATGGAGAGAGGTAGACTTGTCTTCAGATGACAGAGGTCCATCCATGGCACTGGCACGGACTCGGGGGCGACCAAATTCTCTCAGGAAGAGAAGACACAGTTTTGGGTCAGATGTGCTGGTGAAGGAATATGACCCCCTAGGCCTGCTACAACTCAGGGACTTTCGGTGGAAAGGCACCCTGGAAATGGTTGGTGGTGTCGGCATACTCGGTGGTTTGGCATGGCTGCTGATCTGAGGATAAAGCTTTCTTGGAGACGAACAAGCAACTAGCTGCCTGCAGAGGTTGCCTTGTTCATATCGCGTGAAAAATGTTGCATTACCGAGCTTGTTATTAATGTGGCGTATACATGAATGAAAAAGCGGTTCTTGCGATTCTTTCCATACCTCATAGTACTGAGCTTACCTACTTCCAGAGCGTGAAAGGTGTATGATACTGGTGTGTAGGATTTTGTAGGTGCCTACCTATGGAAGGTATGGTGTGAAGGAACCTGCGGGAGATACGGATATCTAGGTACGTACTTTACCTAAGGTAACCTAGGTATGATGTGAAGGCGCGGGTACTCAGCCTGCATGTGAAGTCTCCCCTGCAAATCGGGCCTTGGTTCAGTACCTTAATCGGCAACCTTAGCGCCATTGACGCGCCACGGCCTGCTCTAGTCTCGCGTGTCTACGTACAGTCCTGCGCTCTCCCACTCTCCCCTGCACTTTCTCCAGCGTCCCGTATTCCAACGGAGGCATCCACTACCTACTATCTACCTCGCCAGGCTGGCTTTGCCTTGTCGTCAACCAGTCTTCGTCTGTTTGCCTTTACTTAGAGCATCCTTCTCTCCGACAAATCCTTCCTCCTCATCGCCATTCCTCGCTGCTTGGCCAGGTGCCGCTCCGCTTAGCCACGTTTTTCGACTTGGATGTTCTTCGCGTATCGGTCGCGAAGAAAGTAGCACCTAGGCATGGCCAGCGAAGAAAGAGCTTACGGCGTAACGCCGCCCATCTCCACAGCCCTTCCGACGGAATTGGAGAACCAGGCGAAAGAGGCACTCATTGAGGAACTCAAGAAGCAGAATACCTTCGAAAGTCCCGCAGAGACTGCCAAAAGGCAAGCAATTTGACCGTTCGAGTCGCCCCGAATGTGTCCTACTAGCACGACAATCTAACCCATTCCTTGGCGAATCCAGGTACCAGGTCATCAACCACCTCCAGCAGATTTGCGACGAATTCGTAAAAAGAGTAGCTCGCAAAAGGGAAGAAGGAAATGAGGCTCTCATTAGAGATGCGAGAGGCCAGATTTTCACCTATGGCAGCTTTCGCCTGGGCGTCTACGGCCCCGGCTCCGATATCGATACCCTCGTCGTCGCCCCCAAGTACGTTACTCGGTCCGATTACTTCGAAATATTCCCCGGTCTGCTCAAGGAAATGGCCCCTTCCGACGCAATAACGGATATGGCAGTGGTGGAGGATGCCTTCGTCCCCATCATCAAGTTCGAATTTTTTGGCATCAGCATCGACTTGATTTTCTCCCGTATTGCCATGCTGAAGCAGCTGCCCAAGGAGTTCAATGTCCAGGACTCCGGCTTGCTTCGAGGTCTAGACGAGGCAGAACTTCGCTCCTTGAATGGTACGCGTGTTACCGACGAGATTCTAAGTCTTGTACCGGAAGAGGCTACCTTTAAGTTAGCACTGCGCGCCATCAAACTTTGGGCACAGCGACGCGCAATCTATGCCAACATCATGGGCTTCCCCGGAGGTGTGGCATGGGCAATGCTTGTCGCTCGAGTTTGCCAGCTGTATCCGAAGGCCGCCAGCTCTGTCATCGTTAACAAATTCTTCCACATCATGCGCCGTTGGCCGTGGCCGCAACCCGTACTGCTGAAGAATGTGGAAGGTGGTCCTCTGCAGGTCCGCGTCTGGAATCCCAAGGTGGGTTGGAAATCGAAGAGCCTGGTTCAAACCTGTCTTCGGACCTCTGTTGACCCTCGCACTAGGTTTATAAAGGGGATCAATTCCACCTTATGCCCGTCATCACCCCCGCCTACCCTTCCATGTGTGCGACCTACAATATCACACGATCTGCGATGACGGTCATTCAACAGGAGTTGACAAGAGGTTGCGAGATTACAGACAACATCATGGTTGGCAAGAATCCTTGGAGTGATCTGTTTGTGAAGCATACCTTCTTCACCCAGGGATACAAATACTACATTTCAGTTATCACCGCGAGTACTGACAAAGAAGCCCACAAGATATGGTCTGGTTACGTCGAGTCAAAAGTTCGTGTCTTGGTCCAGGGCTTGGAGCAGCATCAGTCTATAGCATTGGCACATGCGTTCAATAAGGGCTACGAGCGCCGTCACAGATGTACGAGCGACGAAGAGGTCCAGCAAATCCAGGCAGGAAGCTTTAATTTCCTTGTCAAAGACAGCCAGGCCACAGACGACGCGGGTGCTTTGAAGGAAGAGAAGCTCGAAACCAAAGCTGAGCTGAACGGGATTCCAGGTCTCAAGACCGAGACAGACAACATTCCCGGGCTTAAAGCTGAAGCGCTTGACACGAACGTGGGTTCAAAGAAGGAGGTCATCGAAGAGGACAAGTTCAAATTGGAGGATGAGCATCAGGTCAAGCTGGAGGACTGCAAACCGCGGTCGCCTCTGGCCGAAGTGTTCACGACAACGCACTATATCGGCCTTACATTGAGCGAAGGTAGGTCGCCGCTAACTGATCTGTGTTCAGCACTCCATCCTTTCTTTCAGGTTCCCTTGAAGTCTTCTGGGTGTGGGTAATGCTGACTTGCTAGGCGCCAAATCGCTTGATCTATCGTATCAGGTGGACAACTTCAAGTCGCTGTGTACTTCGTGGGATAAATATGAGCCTACACTCAACTCCCTGACGGTCCAGCATGTGCGAAGGTAGGCGCAACACGCCGGATGTATCGGTGACTAGGCTCATTCGTATCTAGTTTCAACCTCCCCGACGACGTTTTCGAACCTGGCGAAAAGAAGCCCCTGAAGCCTCAGAAGAGGCAAAATGCCACCAACGGGGCTGCGCAAGTCAAGAAACGAGGTGCTTCAGAGGTATTGCCACGACTAGAGCTCGCCGCTACAACGGAAAGCTCGCTACGGCCCAATGAAATCCCTTCGCCAAGCTTTGCTAACGAGTCATCTAGGAAACTCCACAACCTCCAGCAAAACGCCAGGCCGCTTCTGTGACAGCGGCCGGTTGAGAGTGTTCTGCAGAGCATGCTATTGCACACCGTGCATCAAGGCCTTTCAAGTATTCAGCTTCACCTGCGAACACTGTTGGCATGATGCCAATACAGCAGCCTTTGCTGTACACCCCTTTCACCAGTTCACTAATCAGCAGGCAAGGAATGACGAATGCACTCCAGCTGGGTCAACTGCGGCACCATGGGACGGCTTTAGACGGCAAATGCAAAACTAGTCAGGATGCTCGCGCTACTTGTCGAAGAAAACTTCAGCCAGTCGACACACCCTACAACCACCCCCCCAGAAAAAAGAAAAGGAATCAAAAATACCAGTACGTATCGTGGACTTTGGTATGTTACTCGCCGATGGTCGCTCGACGTGAGTCTACTCGGACGAGCGGAGACTACTAAAGAGCAATCCAGGAATAGAACTGGCACCCATGAAATCGGCGTGAAGGCAGCATGCGGTTTGTATGCATTGCAGTCAGTATCTTCTACTCTCAGGTGTCTGGATGCGCTTGAGTAATTGTACATTAGACATTCCACAGCTTCACGAATAGACCGTGCATTATCACTTGTGGTTGGTGACCCTCGTCTCGTAAGGTTTGAATTGTGTCGGCTCGAGATATCTATCAGTAGTCGTCGTCGTCGTCGTCACTACCACTCGACCAACCCTCACGGTATGCTTCAGCAAGATCGGCAAGCTCGTTGCTAATATCCTCACGATCCTCCACACCGATGGAGGACGCAACAGCTATGCGCAGTTCTTTCATTGCTGCAGACACGGATGTGTCTGTGGAGAGGCTCGCTATGGTGCCCAAAGTATCTGGGGAGGTCTTGTCGCTGCGGTCTGGGTAGATGTGAGGGAAACTATCGAGCATGGGGAACCCCTTTTCTGTGTGGTATCTGTGGCACGGTGAGCTCTAATTAGATAGTGAGGTAGCTTGTGCCGCATCCTCCTTGACATTGGGAGGTATATCGAAGAGGGCGGCAGTTCTCTCACCTTTGAGTGCTCGTCTCCACAAGGGCAGCTCTGGGCCGATATCTTTGCTTGCTATCTTCCGAGATTTGTGCCTGGCCACGGGTGGTGACAGTGTGACCAAAGAAATGTGGCGTGCTGGCCGATTCCTCGAGGCTTCTTTTGCGGGGCAGGGGTTTTGTTCTCAGGATATCAAAAACGTCAACGTCCAGCTTGGTATGGTCGTCTACATGGTTTATTCCCGCGCTCGAGATTGATTTCGGCCCGGTAACGCTCAACTGAAGCCTGCTCATAGTCTGCTTACCCTGCAGATTCAAACCGCTGACTAAATCACCAAGTGAGGCCTGAGGGCTACTCCCACCAACTTGAGAATTCAGACGCGACGCGATAGTGGCCGTCTCCATGGCAGTACTTAGCAGGGCTGAGGTATGCCAGAGAGACTGCAAGTTCAGGTTGATTTTGGAGGGCAGTCGGCCATGAGGAAGTGCCATGGGCACCATCATGGAAGCATGCTCACATAGGTCCTTGACGGTTCTCGCAGTATTGGCTGCTTGCATACGTCGTTGATCCTGGCGATAGGGTTAGTCTGATTGCCAGGACGAAGAAGCCACCCAAGAATCTAGATTAGGGGCTCTCACAATCATCAGCCCCGGAGCAGGTGCCTGCAGACCCCAAACCCATATGGGAGTTTTTCCGTATTCATCCCGTAGACGCTGGATGTACTCGGTCGCGAAGCCACCCCAGGCGTCGTCGATGGTGGTGACGATTTGGAAGCCCTGCGTTTGGTCCGCTTCTTCGATGAAGGGGCGAAAATCTCGGTCCACTATGTCATGTTCCCTGTCCAGACCGTCAAAAAGCTCTTTTCCTAGTGACCATTTATCAAAGGGCATAATGGATGAGTTGAGCTCATAGTCGTATAGTTGATTGAGTGACTTCGGGTGGTAGAAGACGCGAGAGAAGTCTGACCAGTACCGCACGTCGGACGGTTTGAGTGTCGGAGCAGGAGCGCCAAGATCAAGACTCTGCTGGTAGGCACTCTGCTCTATCTCAGGCTGTTTGTGAACATGAGCGGACCCTTCCCTGTCATGAGGTGAGCAGGACTGGGGAAACAAAGGGCCGTTCTGGTGAGGGGATATGGATTGAACCGACCAGAGATGGGTGGGAGCAGATTCATCGCTGGCGTCGTAGAGGGCATTGATCTTGCGGAGTGAACCGAAGCCGCCCTTCAGGTCATAGATGATGGTGCGCGGGAGGAAGGTCTCGGAGCCATCCAGGGCTACACCTGGGCGCCAGTGAACGTTGTGATTCACCGGAGATTCATCCTCGGCCGAGTAGGTGAAATAGGATTCCTGGTAAAGAAACGAGTCGAGTCAGCGGCCAACGAGCAAAGCGGTGGTATAGAAAGCTGGGGTCTGAACCTGGGTGTTCCAGAAATGAGTCGCTGCGTAGTTGCTCAGCTCGCCGAGTTGCAGAGTGATGATCTCGTGCATTTTGATAAAGACTGGCCAAAGTGTGTAGCGCAAGTATGTCTACTGCAACGCCAATTTACATGTACCCATGTGATATTCAATTCGATGCGGGCGATGTGGGGGGGGGGGGAGTGGGCATACGTGAGGTAAGGTACTACCTACCTTACGTAGTAGAAGGACGCGGATCGGTTGCTGCCCCGGTATGTTCTCTATCGCGCTCCATCCGCCCTACAGCCCAGCTGGGTTTTGGGTATCTCTACGTGACTGATTGAGCGACTAACGTTCCCGTGTATGGGTTATGAATGTGCCAACAACCCCCCCCCCCTCCCCTTCTTTCTGCCTAAAATAAGAACTGAGGTAGCTGAAAAGCTAGTCGTGCCGTTCGTCCATTGGGTATCAACAATCGAACGCAACTCGGCGGAATAAGGGAGCAACGCGCGCACCACCGCCATTTCTAGGGATAGAGAACGGCGACGTTGTGGTGCGCCGCCTGAGGGTCTGGAATGATGGCAGATATTCTCCCCCTTGACGGGATGTCGGTTCCTAATTCCATCGCACCACCCTGCGATGCGATGGACTTTGATGATTCAACCTTGGCCACAGGACAGGGCTTCACGGGCTGTGAGAAATCCACAGTCAACCGGCAACCTGTGTATGCTATCCATCAATGCACACACTGTACGCGCAAAGCTGTTATGGGGCTAGGAAACTGCGTAGGGCGGCGGATGGGTGAGGAGTGGGCACGATGCACGGAATCTGACACCTTTTTCGCGCACAATGCACGTAATTTAGGAGCGAGGTACGCACGCTGCACGCACACGTACAGTATCAGCCCGGACTCAGTGCCTGGCGGTACCAAGTCGGGTAGGTTGGTTGCCTTACTTCATTCAGCCCGGGCAGGTAGGTAGGTAGGTACCTGCTGGCCAGTACAGATAGCCACTGGGAGGCTTAGCATGCCGTCACAGGCCACTGATTTACCTTTCTTCCCTCAGCTCTATCAGCCTTGGCAAAATGCACCTCACCTAGGCACCTTGGTTGGTACCGACACCCCCGACTTAATTAACGCCCTTCCCCCTCCCTCCCTCCCAAAAAGGCCGACGCGTGCCAGACATTCGCGACAGCATCTCTCAATCCTTGCACAAATCCAAGCCAACCGCTGGCTGATATCCTCAGCTCCCACCACTAATCATCTTCACCTCCACGGTTACCACTGTTCGTGATCGCAAACTCCGGCCTAGGGATCACTCTTCTTTTCCCTCCTCTGCTCCCGCAATTTTTAGACGCATACCTGTGGTGGTCATCAACGCCATCCGACCGCGGCTGCTACCACGACTGCGACCGCGACCCAATCTTGAAAGTGAGCCACCTGCGCTTGCGCCTCGCGTGGTCCCAAGCCCCGGCTTTCTTCTCAAAGCATCAGGTTAACTCACATTCAACCGAAGCCTTATCCAACTTACAGCCTCCCTCGCTTCCGCACTACTCGCAGCCAACCAACCCATCCAACGCACACCCTACGCTCATCCTCCTCCTGGTGGCATTTTTCTGCCTCGAAGTCCAGTTCAACCAGCCCTCACGAGTCTACGAGACACGACCGCTCGCCCCCCATTCCGCAACCCTGTGAGACCGACTACTTGAACAAACGCCGCCCATCATTGTTTGCCCGGTTTGGCGCCCCCGAACTCCCCTTGCTCGGATCCTCCTCCATCAGCTGCCGCATGCTGCAAAAGACACATCCTCACTATGCCTGCATCAGCAAAGCGCTCCCAGCGCACCCGTCGCGACACCCGCCGGGACACCTCTCCCGCCGCAAGAGTCGATGATAGCTCACCTAGTCGCCCGGCCAAGCGTCGCAAGAAGGTACCCGTTTCCCTAACCCAGGTACGCGCCACATCAGGACAGTCCTCTGACATTGCTTTCAGGTTGAAGAACCGCCGCCAGTCGAGCCCGCCGACGAAGACGAGTCCAGTCTCACCGCCGATCAGTCCGGTCAGCCCTCCAGCGACGATGATCAGCTACTCTCCCAGGTCGTCCAGCATTTGACTTATCCCAAAGAAGGGCCTGTGCAAGCCAGCAAAGACCATGCAAACTCAATGCATGAAGCCAACAAAAACGGCGTTCAGGCGTATGCTAAGATCGCCGCACAGGATTGGACCTTTTACATTACGAAACTTAACGTCAATATTGGTCGCTCGGCTGAAGGTGTCGACGAGGATGACGAGGACTTCATCCACATCGATCTTGGCCCGAGTAAAATGGTCTCTAGACAACACGCTCGCATTTACTTCAGTTCGAAAGAAGAGGTCTGGTTCCTCGAAGTCAAGGGAAGGAACGGTGTCCGAGTGGATGGCGTGTCCTTGAAAGCAGGTCATTCGAACCCTCTTCAGAGCGGTCAAGTACTCGACATCGGTAACACAGAGATGATGTTCGTCCTGCCGACAGAGGTCACCCCTCTCCACATCCACAATCTCTACCTGAAGAGGGCTGGTTTGTCACGACAAGATATCACAAGTCCCGCTCAGCCCAGAACAGATTTGCCAGAGGAGCCGTCTTCAGCTCTGGGATCAACAATCAGGAGTTCGCGAGGCCAGCCCTTCCGCCAGCCCATAGCTCCGGCACCAGCAGATTACAAGCGACCTGGGACCCCTCCCTCTGTGCGTGGGAAGCCCACACCATCGCAACACAAGTCGCCACATTATTCGAGCTCGGGCACTCTTTTGGTGAACTCGAATGACATTGATCTTAGTCACGACGATAATAAGCACATCAAGCCACAATACAGTTACGCGCAAATGATCACTCAGGCCATTATCAATACGCCCGAAGGGAAGCTCAATTTGAATGGTATCTACAACTTTATCATGAACAACTACGCCTACTATAGGCACCAGCAAGCCGCAGGATGGCAGGTACGTTTCATGTGACCAGTTCCGTCTCGCTCAGGCTGTTAATTTTGTCAAAGAACTCCATTCGTCATAATCTCTCGCTGAACAAATCATTCGACAAGGTGGCCAGATCCACTGATGAGCCTGGCAAAGGCATGAAGTGGCAGATTGTCGCAGATGCACGTGAAGAAATGACCAGGAGTGCATACAAGGGCGGGCGGGGTGGCCACCGAGGCTCCTCGGCGCCTTCTTCGCCCAGCCAGTTGAACTACATCACACACGGTCCGAAAGACGTGAATGCAAGAGGGGAGCCTGCCTCAACGCGGAAACGAAAAGTGTCGGCTACAGGCTCACCGCCTCCCAGCTCTTCCCTCGCTGCGGTACAATCCACCCCAGACCGAAGCACACGTCGTCTTGCACCTCCCAGCACGGCATTGACTGCGGATGGAAGTCCTCTTCCAAGGCCCCGCAAGGGCGGCACGTCGGCCTCGGCGAGCTTCACCTCGGCAAGCTACAATGATCAATCTCCGACACTGACTTCATCGTATCTTCCTGACGAAGGAGCATCCTTCGTTACACCCGCACCCCACCGAGTTCACCCACGACTAGCACCGCCTAGCACTGCCCAGAGGCCTAGCCAGCACATGCCTACCAGCTCCCCGGCGCCCTTTTGGAAGTATGCCGAGATTGGTAGCACTCCGCTGAAGCCTGGCGCCCACTTCGACATGAGCCCGTCCAAACCGTCTCTAGGTGGGGTTCCTCAGAGCAGTAGTCCACCCCCGGCCAAGTCACCCAACCAGAGCCCGACAAGATCTCAGAACAAGGAATCATCCCGGGAGGCGCCAAGCGAGCCTTCGAATCCTCCCGAAATCGAAGAGGAGCAGGGTTTTGACTTAGCAAAGTGAGTTCTGGAACCATCGACGGCAGAGGTTTTATTGTACTAACAACCGCGCCAGGGGTTTCCAAAGCATTGGTTCGTACCATGCGCCTGTGAGCCGAGGAATATCCATAGCTAGTGCTATGAACGGTCACTCATGATAATGGTAGCTAATGACAAGAAATGAAATTTTTAAAACCGATCACCAACGGGTTCCGAGTGTGTGCCTCAGTCCATAGACAGTGTGGTATGTCGAGGAACGGGTGGAAGGGCCTCTTACCGAGAGCGAAATCATTCAAAAGAGTGAAGAAGTGTGATTCTGTCAAGTGTTCCGCCCTATGCTACTTTTTTTTTTCTCTAAGTGCCGGAATCTATCAAGTATGCACCGACCGTTAAGCCCATCCAACTATATCAAGTACACTTGCCCCAACCTCGTTATCACGTATATTCTGATAAAAATACAAGTATGTGACGGAGTTGATGTCTGTCCCAGCAGGATCAGCAGCCAAAAGCGTGCACACGTTTCTCTTTTGTTCGCGATTTACTTAGAGGCCTTGCCCCTTCTCTTCGGGTTACCCCTGCTCGGCCTTCCTTTTGAGGACTTCGCCTGCTGGTCGGTGCCCTCGATGAACTTGATGAGTTCGTCGATGCTGCGCGAGTCCATTTGCGAGGAACCGCCCAGACGAGAGTTTTGCGTGGTAGACACGCGAGGAGCGGGTGCGGATGCCTCGTAAGGAGACCCCTTGGGCGTGAAGCGTATGCCGGCACGGAGACGGCGTGCCTGAGCATCCTTCGCGTGCTTGGCAAGAGCAACGGCGTTCTGTGTCAACTGCTCAAGCCAGCTCTCTGCCTCCTTTGTATTTTTGTCATCAGGGCCGAGCTCACTGAGGAAGATGTTGTAAGACTCGCGCATGCGGTTGACGGCGGCCTTGGAGTCCTGATCCAGCGCAAGAGCCTGAGCGAGCTGGAACAGAAGAGTGGCAGCATTGATGGACTGCTTGCCGAAAACCTGCTCACAAATGCGAAGGGACTCCTCGAACCACAGCCTTGACTCATGGTAGGACTTGAGGTGTTGCAGCATGACAGCCCCATTGTTGATAGTAGTGATAGAGTCAGGATGGTCAGCGCCGTAGATGATCTTCCAAAGCTTCAACGCATGCTTGGCGTAAACCAAAGCGGCGTCGCTATCGCCAGCCTGGTGCAGGAAGAGACTCAAGTTGAGGTAATTGAGGAGAGTCTCGGCGGAGTCGACACCGACCGTCCTCTCAGAGACGACAATGGCCTTTCTTGCGAGCTCAACTGCGGCCTCCTTCTCTTCCAGTTGGTAGTACAGCATGGAGAGGGTGTTGTAGACGCGAGCGACCTCGGGATGAAGAATTCCATAAATCTGCTCATGAAGGGATAATGACTCCAGAAGAAGCTCTTGGCCAAGCTTGCGCTGGCCCTGCATGATGGAAATACGGCCAGCCTCCAGAGCTTCTTCGGCAAGAGCGCTTCGCGGGCACGAGTGCTTGACCACTGGCACGAAATTGACGATATCGTCAGCGGTGAAGGCGGTGGCGGGAGGCGGCGGGCTCGAGGAGGTAGGCGAAACATCCTTGGGCGCCTTCTTCTTCTTCTTGTTTTTGCTCTCGCCGTTGGCCCCATTTGTAGAGGTGCCGTTGGTAGCAGGAGCTGGAACGGCCTGCTCAATGGGCCTGCTGGTGAAATTATATTCCTTTGCCTGCAGCTGAAAGCCAAGCTTCAGGGAAATTTCACGCAAGAGCTGGAGGGGCTTGAATTTAGTAAACCACTCGGCGTCCAGACGGTATCTGAATCTCTTGAAGGTTTGTTCCTCGATACTGGTACGGATGGTCTCGGGCGTGGCCTTCTCGAACGACAAGTCGGCATCTGAGTACAGAGACCTCAGAGTTGAGTCGATTTCAGCGGGGGGGTTGGGGTTCAACTGGGACCCCAAAAGGCAGTTGAGGAGGTGGGAAATGCAAGCCGATGTGAAAGGTGCGGGCAGATGTCTGAGATATGTGGCAGCGACGTGCTTGAATGACCGAGCGACCATGTCCTGGATGCAAATGTCTTTCAGGCACTGAAGGCGAGGATCCGAGGCGAGAGTTGCAACCTTGCCGGTGTATCTGATGTTGATGCCCCTCTTGTGCAAGAGACGGCCAAGAGACTGACCATCCATGGGGAAGCTAATCTCGCAGTCGGTAAGCTCACGAATGAGGTCGGAAATGACCTGCTCTCGAAGATACTTGCAGGCGAGGCGGACATCCTCTTCATCCTGCTCCATCTCAGCCTTCTCCGCATCGGTCTTAGGGACCTGGCCGCTAAAGACATCGGGGTTCAGGGAAAACTGGAACTTCGAAAGGTCAATGTGGTCTTTCGACTCCTTTAACTCGTTCAAGGCCTCTGCCTCCTTGTTGTTTTCAGGCTTCCCGGCTTTAACAGGGTCCTTGGCGGATTTGGACTCTGCTTCGCTTTCGCTTTCATTCTCACTCTCCTCACTGTCATCACTTCCGTCGCTCTCGTCCTCGGTCTTGGCTTGTTGAGATTTCTTAGACTCGGCAGGGGCTTCCTTTGTCGCGTCCTTAGCCTTGTCGCGCTGGGCAAGCTCCTCGTCGACCCAGGCTTTCATCTTCTTTCTGCCGTACGACTCAACCAATTCGGGGCGGAGGACCGCCATACGATGAGGATAGTCATCGAAGCCCTCCTCATTCTCCTCAAGCCAATCGATATCCAGAGGCGTCACGCGATACAAGTCCAGAACGTACTTTCTTCCGTCTGTGCCCATCAAGCCCTTGGTCTCGACGCTGGCCTCCAGGTCGACACGCTTGCCATCCTTGTCCCAGACAGCATGCTTTTTGACCCTGAGAGCGCGCGACAGCTTTTCGAAAACAGACACGAATCGCTCGTCAGACGCGACAACATCTTTGCCGTCAACAGCGCCATAGTCGATTTGGTTTTCGCCAGGGTCCCTCTGCTTGAAAATGCCAGGCACGATACTCTGACCAACGATGCGTTTACCAAGGTAATCGACAACGACCGTAGCAGGTGTGAAGAGGCCATCGATGTCCAGCTGGTTCACCAGCCTGACACCAGCCACGTCCTTGCCAGTTGCAACACGGGCAGCCTCATCGCCTCCCTCGGAAGTGAATGTGCCCACGCCATCGGCACCAAAGGAGAAGAAGACATTGTTGTAGACAAAGATCTGAGCATCCTTGCATTCCGTGGGATTCAGGGGGGCGACCTCTCCGCGAGCAACCAAGACCGCACCTCGAGTTGCAGCGTCGTTGTAGTCAGCGAAAAGTTTGGACATGAGACGCTCACGGAAAACTCTGTCTTGGACGGTCTCTTTCGGCAGCTCTCTCGCTGACTGGAATTCTTCATTCCAGTCTCGCAAAGTGTCCGTGTTATCGGCACCTGCAATCAAGTATGTTTCTTGGGAACGTGTGGGGTCGGCAGAATGGGCGCATAGTGGGGAAGACGCCGAAGGTACGACCCATGGCGCCGAGGGAATGGCATTGGTGATTTGGAATGTCGCCAATGGGTCCTTAAGGCTATTGAACTCCTGGAATTTCAAGAAAGAGGCCGAGAAAGATGGTGAAATGAGGTCAAGTAGATTCAGCAGTGAGTGAGCCGACTGGCCTCTAGGGGCAGGTCGAGGAAAGGGATCGAACTTCTGGTTGGAGGACTTGTTGACGAAGAAGCCGCCAACGTGAGCTGTGATCTGGTGCTGCTCGCCCTCATTGGTCGTGGCCACAAGGTACAAGAGGTGGCCTCGTTGCTTGAGGTGAGGGGGCGGGGGGTTCCAGGCCGACAAAGAGACAGACTTGATAGTCTTCGGAGCTTCTTCCTCGGGTGCTGGGGGAAGCAGAGTGGAAAGCGGAACCGGCGCACCAAAGGTGTACTCATTTTTAGTGGCATCATCCTTGGCGGCTTGGGAATAGACCTGTTCTGCATTGGACTGCTCTTCCGACGGGGGCTCGACGGTATCGAGAAGAGACAGGCCCGGGAGAACACCTTGGACAGCATCGGTACGGTCTCCGGCGGCGCCAATGAGCTCTCTAATTCGAACAAGATGTATGCGAGCCTCCTTCTCGGTGTAAGGCTCCTCGACCAGCGTGACCTCAGGGTCCTCGCTCAAGCCTTGTATATCCGAGATAGG